ATACCAGTCTTTGGTAATGAAAAAGAAAACTGTACGCGATACTTGTCTCATAGCTATAGATTCTACCTTTGAAAGCATTCCTGATTGATAACATGAAGCAGAAATCAACACCGAATCATCAGTTTCATGAAAGGAAGGGTGCCAGAATCGCCCCACCATGAAAGTGCAAGGAAGACCGACTTTGCAACGGTTGCTCTCCAGTGGCAGTGCCATATCACCATTCAATCAAAGTTTGTCAGCCTCCGAAACGCGTATTTTTATCAGTACGAAGAGAAATCGCTAAATCCGGTATCAGTATCCGTAAAAGATTATATTTACCGGCGGAATCGGGAAGCAGCCATTCTTGGTCCTGCCTCAAATCATTACGGTATCCTCTTCTGTTATTTTCTGTTCGAAAAGGAGATTTGCCTGCCGCCAAATTCAAGGATTCAGGTGGTACATGTCATGCACTATAGGTTCTCGTATACCATACATTCGTGACCTGCTTAAACGAACCTCAGAGGTGACTAGAAATAATGAAGTTATGCAGTACTGCGGTACAACCTGATGTAATGATTGTCATCCGTCTTAGATTACAGCATTAGCGCTGGTAAGTAAGCAATTTTACCTTACGCTGTATAAAGTGTTGTATCAGTGTTTAAAAAAGAATTCGCTAAAGTTCCACAATGCATCAACAGTGTTTCTAAAAATGTAATTAGTACAGTTTTCAGGAATAATGCATAATAATAAACTTATTTTCGTCGACTCCTTATGGACAGTATGCAAGGGAGGTAATAGTAATCAGTTTAGGACGGATCCGATATTTAAAATCGGTAGCGACGTTTTCAGCAAATGGCTTAGGACCGAAAGAATCCAGCGGCAAGGATATTCTAATCTTTAATAGCTGCAAGAGGGGCAGTGAAATCCTTCCTTTTCCTTCCTTGTGAAAATACTGCAAAATTGATGCTTATTTGATGATCATCCAGGGTACGCAAGTCTTCTGATTCTGTGATTGTAGGCACAAAGAACGTCAAATGATTTTGTTGAACCGGCGACCTTACAGACCACAGTGACGTTGACTGTCATGCAGGCATTTTTGCAAATGTCATTCATCCGCTGTGTAGTAAACATGACTCCTGGTATTACCGAATAGAAAATTCAGTGACGCCTGGTAGGGGACATACGGAAACAGGAGATGAATCTTGTAGTGATTCACAAAGGGCTAGAGAAACACTGTGCAAGTTGAAGATTATGTTTTTATTCACCTCTGCATGGACTGTTGCTGCAATTGTTGGAATATTGTCGCAGATTATAATAACCCGTATTTTCATGCCACTGTTTTCTTATAAATAGTTAGTTATGGCGCGTTTTGTCGGTGTTTACCCAAATTCGATTAAGGTAAATATATCAGCCAGCTCTTTTAGAGCTGCGTAATTTTTGGTATTAGAGTTGTGGGGTATCCATAGCTCGGTGTTTTTCGAAATGAATTAATAATTGAGGTAAGGGGTAGTGATTAGCTTCGTAAGGGTAGCTGAATGGGTATTAGTTCCATTGAGCACTAGCAATAGCGAAGTTACACTTTGTGGTGACTATCTGTCACTGAATACGAAGCTAACGGTCGATAAAGGCAAATTGCAGCAATGGCAGACGCTCCTATCAGACGGTATAACCGTACCTCTCGCGTTTTCCAGTATGACCATATCATAAAAAGACCGCATTGCCCCTGTTGTTCACACATCAACAATTTGCTTTTCGTTTGTCGGTTGATTGCACCGAAACAACGTTGGGTATTTTTGTGTTCACCCTTTAAAACAGTGCTTTTGTGTTCAGGCTTTAAATCATGCTCACTTTGAATATTTTCATAACTTTCTGAACTGAATCGATTTTGCACTAGGAGCTGAATGAAATCCTTAATTTATTGATTCGTAGTTAAATGCAGTACACTAGGTAAATGACATTTGATATATTATTACTACATTCTACGGAACCATTGTTTATGTTCCCGATTCATGGTTTATAGTGCCAAGCAACATTATTTTAATAGTTTATCGACGGTGCGTTTCGCTGCAAACGGAATAGCATCATTAGGACATAAATCCGATACGATTGTCAATCGTCTCATTCATACCAGAATACATGTGAAAATTTTTTTAATTAGCGATAGATTAACACCAGGTTATAACCCGCATGTGCAGCTGTTGTTTTGCCATCGTTATCAAAGGCAACCATAGCTTAGACAGTAGAATAACCAATATTTATGATGTCTGACTTTTAGAAATGAGAATACACATATGTTTAAATCTAGGCTTTAAGTTTTAATCTCTACCTCTCATTGCACAATATCAAATTTTTTGATTTGGTCCATGAGAGCACCCTAACTTTGATTTATAGCTACGGAGAAGAATTATACATTTCACATGCAATGTTTCATTGCGAAAATATGCGATAAATAGTCCTTTATCAAAAGACCAGGCTTGGCCTTGTCCTTGTTGATTATGGATGCTTTCGTAGTGATAAGTATAAGTTGAGGTGCTCTCGCGAACTAAATGAGAAAATTTGATATGGTGTAGCGAACGATGGAGATTGAAACTTAAAACCTAAATTTTGGGTCCTGTATGTTCTCATATCAATCTGAAATACCATTTTTAAAGTCTGGCATCACATAAATATAGGTTATTCTGCCGCTTAAGCTCTGTTAGTTGTTGGTGGCGATGTTCACAACAGCAAGTACATATGCGGCCTAGGATCCAAAGTTAATCTGTCACTCATTAAAGATTTTTAAAATGTATTCTTGTATAAATAGGGTGACTTGTTGATTGCCACGTCGAAATTATGTTCAGATGATGCTACTCCGTTTATAGCGAAATACTTCAGCCATAAACTATTAAAGTCATACTTTTTGATGCCCTAAGCCATGAGTCTGAGAACAGGTATAATTCCTAAGGGCCTAGAGTTGGAAACGCTATGTCATATGCATTATTTTTATTGCATTGTTGTTACGTAATTCTTTTTTATGTAGCCTTGATTATGTTGCTGAAGGTTTGCAACTATTGCCATTTGTGAACGTTCTCAGGGTGTTTTTTGCAACTAGGCTCTAACTGTGAATAAAGAAACTCATAATCGTTATACATTGTAAGCAGCAAAACTTCTAATCATGTCTGTAGCATAGAGAGATTATATCAAATAATTGCAAAGAG